CAATTAATCTACAGAGTAGATCCCGCACAAAATGACAATCAATTTTTATATACATGGTGCGCTCATGGAGCACAAGATTCACCGCAATATACAAAGCAGACTGACTATTAGAATAAAGATAAAGTGGATGTTTGTGATCCACAGCCAAATCGCAAAGTAAACTTCAAAGTTCCTTCAATTCGCAAACAGTAATCACTATGGTACGATACTCTTCCTCAACAGAAGAACGAGAGACAACAACCTGTTTCTGGATTTCCAAGAAATAGGAGAATATCCAAAAAAAAAAAAAGAAAAAGAAAATCCAAAAAGATAACGACGGGTCATTGGATAGCACACCCAATCAGAATTACAGTATACCTGTAAACACAAATCATAATAAAAACAAAGCAAAAAACATTATCCATCGCACCTTATCAAATAGTGTAGTATACGCAACAAAATATTCTAAGAATCTCCAAGGTTCCTGTATAAATTGTGCTAAAATATGCACACAATAGGAAAACCCAAGACAAGTAAGAGTCAGATAAATAAAATATTAGCAACCAATCTTCGGAATGCTCCAGCATCACGTAGAGGTATGGCTAAACTTCATTTTGTTCTATATGAAACTTTGAAGGATGTGCTTCCAACAAACTAGTCTTTCCAATAATGTCTAACATATACTTACGGTGACACAAATACATGCCCGTCTTATTGCGAGCAACCTCAATCCCCAAAAAATATTTCAAATCACCTAAGGTTTTCATGTGAAAGCATTGACTCAGATAATTCTTGAAATGAAATAAGGCACTCAAATTATTACAATACAACCAAATCATCAGTATAAATTAAAACACAAAGCCAAATATTTGGTCTTGTATAAGTAACAAGAGAATAACCTGCGTACAGTTGAACAAAACCATAATGACGCAATGTATTACTCAATTTCCCAAACCAACAACGAGGTGCTTTATGACACCTCGACCCACAAGCCACACAAAGTCGAACATGTCGGGATTGTAGACTGACCCCACAAGTCAACACGAGTCCTTCCAGCATGTTTTTGTCCTCACTCACACGCACCCTAGGATCCATCCTCAAATTACTCTGGAGCAAACATGCTTAACTCTAGAGTTCTTTCAATGGAATTTTCGAAAAGGAATGTGCACATTGTTGACATAAATAATCTATTCGATCCATTTAACTTCTAATCAAATTTAGATCATGATACACCCGGGTTTACATGGCTTATAGCCTGAAGTGTTACACTTGGTATCAGAGCCGACTTGCGACAGCCGACACTCGTTGACCTGACTGTTGAGGGGCCAAGCAGTTAACGATCATTGGGATGTAACGTGGATGTTGCATTCTAAAATGGGGGAGGATGTGATACCCCCAGAGTGTGTGGATGAGCCGGTATTAGGTCATACGATGTTGATTAGATGTTAAATGAATTGAATAAACTACCTATGTCAATAATGTGCACACTCTTTTTCGAAAGCCTTACTGAAAAAACTCTAGAGAAAGCATGAACGTGCTTGTTCTAGAGCAATTTGAGGATGAGTGACCTCCTAGGAACTCTCTCTTGGTGTGCATAAGTGAGGACAAAGCATGCTAGAAGTACTTGTGTTGACCTGTGGGGCCAGTCTACGATCCTGACACGCCCAATTTTGTCTGGCTTACGGGCTGGGGTGTCACACGCTTGACGCAAACCATACAAGGTTTACACAAGCAACATACCTAATCAAGATGTGAAAATATAAAGCCAAAAGTTAGCCGCATTTATACTTCATCCTCCAAATCTCCATGCCAAAAAGTATTATGCACATTCATTTGGTGTACATACCATCCGCGAGCAACTACCACAGACAACGCAAACCACACAATCACCATCTCCACAACGGATGCAAACATTTTATGGTAATAAATGCCTAACGCTGATTGTTTCTCAAAATTACTGACCGAGCTTTATGTTGTTTGACCAATCTATCGGACTTATATTTGATCTTATAGCCAATTGTCCTTTTTCCAAATGTGTAGGACTTTGAAAAAATGGTTGCAAAGTTAGTAGACCCTGCAAGATGCAAGAAGTATTACCACGCGTCTGGCGCGGTTTTACTGGAACCTTTGCCACCGGTTGCGTTCTACAAAGGGAAAAATTATTTGTGTGCGACCTAGAATTGGTCGGCTCTAGAAAGATTGTCTGCAGGCATTTATTGCAAAATACCGATCAAATTTCCAAAAGAATATCACCCATTTGTGGAGATAGAAGGAAATCAGGTGCCGCTCACGTAGTGGTGGATTTCTCCAGACCAGTTAGTGTACTATAGGGAAGAACAATTCGATCGTGTGCGGTCTGAATTTGAGCTACCAGGAAAGCGTGATGTTAAGTTATAAGAACAAAGAGAAGGAATTTATGGAAAAATATAAATGGCAACAATGAAAGGCGGGCTGACAAAGGGAGATGCAGAGAAGACGGCAAAGCTAACGATCGAGCTTAATGCCTTTGATCCGACCCGCTTTGTGAGCATTGCTCCTCGCACAACACAAACTCCTTCGATCCCAAAGTCGTATCATAGAGAGGAGCAACGATTAAAAATTCTTCAGTGACGATCTCATGCATTGGGTGTTGAAAAAAGGACTATTACAGCTGCAAGCAAACCCCATTGAATACGCCAACCTCCATACTAGAAAATGGATAGACAACATCTACATCCATGGGAAGAGGATTGACGTGAGCCCAAAGGCCATAGAAAAATATTTGTTGTTGATGGAGGACTTGCCATACAAAAATTCCTTGGAGTCCTAATCTCTGGACTCTACGAACGATGATCGAATAATGCATTTGTTTTCTGTTTTTGCAAAGGATCCACCTATAGGAGCTCACAGGAAACTATCATGGAAAATCATCAAGGAAGAATACAAGCCATTAATCAGATGGGCTGCCACAAAAATCTACTGCACTTCTCATTTTACAGAAATTGGAGCAAAGAACTTGATCTCAATGGCAAAGATACTATGCAATCAACTAGCCAACCTTGGCGAACTCATATGCCATGACATCTCTGCATTCCTGGAATCTTCATGGTGGCCTTAGGACATGGCCATCTTATTACAGAGCTATGTTGCACCACGGGAGTCAATCCCAGTTGAAAAGGCACTGGTTGATCTTCCGGCCCTGTCACCGTTGGAATTCCATCGCGGGTGGTTGATATCGATGAATTTCTCCCAATTCCAAAAAGAAAAACACCAGCTTTAGGACAAGTTGTGCAATCTAGGAAAAAGAATAAGATAAAGACTGATTAGCCACTTGCTCTTCATTCTCCATTGCAAAAGCTGAGCAGCGAGGAAAAGAGAGATAGTTCAAAAAAAGAATCAGATGATGAAGTCACACTGGTTGAACAACCATCATCCTCGCAGCCCAAGGAAAAGGGAAAAGGAAAGATGATAGAAGCCTCCACCCACATTGTTGAACTTGCAACAGTAGCCATGCAGCGTGAGAAAGAAATAATCATTAAAGAACCAGCATCGCAGGCCCTCAGTCAACCATTCCCAGAGTTTGTTCAGACAGAACAACAACATTCATTCCAGGAAGGGGATCACATGTTGACCCTCGAGCAACTGGGGATGGGCAACAAGGACCCCCATATGTCAAATACGGCCGTGTATGTTTCAGCAATTGTTGTTGACTGCACAAACAAGGCCGTGTTCAATCCAGATTAGATGTCGCATCAGCGTTTTTCGTAATTTTTTCGACAGTAAGACTAAAATTGATAAAAAAAAAAAACTATTTATAATGAAGTTAATATTGATATAAACTTTTTATATTTGGATTAGAATTTATAATTTGTTGTTTCAATGAGGCTCATTTTGATTTATTTTTTTCACTAAAAAAAATAATACTTTTTCCATCATGTGAAAATATGTTCATTTAGTTTGTGCACAAATTTTAAAATGGTGTGTATTTTTTTACTGTAAAACAAAAATATAATTAGAAAAAGGGGGAAAAAATCAAGAACGGTCCCAATGAGAATAAAAATGATCAATTTATGTCTCAATATAAAAAGTCATAATTTTTTATATTATTTTAAAAAAAAAATTAGTTAATTTTGGTCCAATAGTTAGAAAACTAACATATATACTAATGTGGACCTAACAAATCTAATGTGTTATCTGATCTGTATCGAACACGGCTGTATTTACCAACAACATGGCCGTTTATAACATTCAGTAATAAATCAACTGAACAAAAATAACACGACCATATACAATAAAAATTGTTAGAATAACAACAATAGGCGGCGGCCATGGCTATTTGTAGGAGCATTTCTCCGGCGAACGGATTCAATTTTGACTTGTGTCTTGAATCTCTCTCTATGTGTATATGCGAATCAATAATATTATCCAATATGATATGCTTGACTATCTTTCTACCATTTCTATGTATTTTCTCCTCGTCCCGTCGCTCAAAATTCCCTCTATCCGCATATCTCCGGCCATGATGTTGCGCACCTCTAGAACCACTTGTGCCTCCGTTTGGTGGCGCTGGCATCACTCGTGGTGAATTGATAAACACATAAGATTTGTTATATTCACATCAGTATTTTCGTTTATTTTTCTAAGAGTCGGACCAAGATTGATTAAAAAAAATTTATAGTATGATCAAAATTAATATATATATATTTTATAATGATACCAATATTTATTATTTTTGTTCTCATTGGAATCATTCTTGATTTTTTCTCTAAAAAAATTAAAGAGTAGTATCTTCGTTCGCCTCTAAAGATCACATTAATAATATCCTTATATTTATATTAATTTTTGTACCAATATTATTCTATTAGTATTATAAAATACTAATAAAAATATTTTTATAATTTTTTTTAATTTATACTTTAATATTTTGATATAATAATCGATAAAGTACTAAAAAAGGCCTAACATAAAGTAAATAAGACCCCGTATAGACATGTTTTATACAACTTGCGAGTAAAAAATTTAAAATAAATGGGTATTATTAGCACAAAACCCTTCGTTTTGTTGGGGCTCGGAGGAAAACTGCCTCTCTTTCACTTGATCCAATAAGCGACCTCCATCCTCTCCTCGAAGTTAAACCCTACTTTCTCCCTGTTCTCGCTTGCTTGCGTTAATGGCTGCTGCAAGAATCAAACAGCTTTTGAAAAAATACGGAAAGGTCGGCTTGGGTGTACATTTGTCCGTCTCCGCCGCTTCCATTAGCGGTCTTTATGTCGCCATTAAGAGCAACATCGATGTTGAAACCATGCTCGAAAAAGTCGGGCTGCCCAGCCTTTCAAAGGAAAGTCACGACCACGACTCCGCTTCTGATCCACCGGTAAAGAATCGGACGACGGAGCTGGTCGCTTCCAGCGGCGGTGCTTTGGCTTTGGCAGTGCTTATTAATAAGGCGCTTTTTCCGGTTAGGGTTCCTATTACGCTGGCCGTTACGCCGCCGCTAGCGAGGTTTCTTGCGAGGCGCAATCTGATAAAGCAGAGCAATTTCTGAGTACGAAGATTGCTTGCAATTTAGTGATTTTGAAATAAAAAGTGGTTTTGATACATACAATTTGGGATTGGAATTGAGATTGAGATGTAGCTTAGGTTAGGGTACAGAGTTTTACCCTAAATCTTTTACTGTTGGATCCTTTTTACATTTTATCAAAATGAAGAGAGATGCTCTCTTTGTGTTCTTTTATTTACATTCCTGTGCTTAGATATTGCATGATTTCAGGGCCACCAAGTCTGACATTCATATTCGATTGGTATTCAGAAACCTTAATTCTGCTTAATAATTCTCAAATCCATGGAATGTATTGATGCTAGTGTCCCATGTGGATTCTGCTTCATTTTGCAAATTTAAGCTCAAGTTGGAGTGATTGCAGATTCTTGAGCCTGGATGCAGCAGCCTGAGAGTCCTTTTGGCATCATGGACTGTTCTGATTATAGCTTTTATGGAGTCCCATCAAGGCTCGAATTCGATAATATTCAAGGAGGTAATAAATTTTCAGTTTTAGTTTTAAGTAGATAACACTCAATTCTAGTACTTTCAGAAAACCTCTGCAACAATTCATGGATGATCACCACTGATGACAAGTTCAAATACACCTTATGCTTGAAGCGGACCGCAGTCAAAACTCGCCATCTTCAGCATCAGTCGAGCCAAGAATTTGGCCATTATTTTACCCCGCAGAAAGCTGATGACAGCCCCATTGCCCTTCTGCATTTGCCCGAAAATCCAAGACGCCGTGATGAGATTGATGCTTCTCCATCTCCTCTCATCAGCATACTTTTCTAACCCCTTATGGATTCTCTGCAGCTCGTTCTCCAAGCTATCATCTCCCAGTGTTCTTTCCTTCATCGCCCCGGCCAAAGCTCTGGCCAAAACAATGCTGCTCTCCAGGGCTGCGCACGCCCCCTGCCCCATTTCCGGTGTCATGGGATGTAGTGCGTCTCCTGCCACACAGACATTGCCTTTGCTTATGTTTCCCCAAAGCAGTTCCCATGGATGCCTGGTTCGTATCTCTGAACATACAATGTTGGTAAGATGGGTTCCTTGGAACACTTTGATGATCCTGTCACTGACTTTTCCGAGATTGCTCAGTATGAATTGCTTCAACTTGGCTGGATTTTCTTCTATTCCTTGTTCTGCACCATTGGATGCATTGTGAGCCTTTTTTGCAGTGTTGAAGTTGGAAACAAGAGATTGAAGGAGAAGAAAGGTAGGTAGGTACCTTGGGGAGAAGGAATATATGCAAAAAACCAGTAAAGACTGTTGTGGTCGCATGGTACAATACCGTATTTAACACCTTCTCCGAAGAAGTGCAATGACTTTGGCTCAAATCCATGGCCGTTTTCATAATATGCAATGCCCCTGGCCACCCATCGGCCCACAGATGATGGTTTATTGAAGCCAAGGTATTTCGCCACCATGGAGTTCACTCCGTCACATCCAATCAACACCTAATTAAATATCCTTGACAAGAATCAATACTCATTTATGCCTCTAGGGGCCAAATCTGAATGTGGGCTTTTTTGGCTTAAATATTTTGTGTGAGTAGTAGTGATTGATTGAGTTATGTTGAACCGAAGAAATGAAGATGATGATGACCTTAGCTTTAAGGATTGTTCCGTCAGAAAGGTGGATGGACTTGAGGGTGCAGGCATGGCGGCCGTGGGTGGTTTCTTGTTCTTGTTCTTCTTGTATGCGAACAACCTTGGATGAATATCTTATAGTGCCCTTTGGGAGCTGGTTTTCCAGTGTTTCGAGCAGCACTTTTCTATTCACGCATCGACTCTCCAGCCCACCCCTGCACCAATCCATGCACATTAATATTATTATTACAGGAGTGTATATATATAGAAATTCAAAAGCTTGCCACTCACTTATGGTGTATGGCTGTGTAAGGCTTATCCGAAGTGGTAAGCCCTGAAGCAATTGACAAGGTTACCAAACTGCACAATAAGAAGTAAGTAATTGGATTCATCGATAGACAGGTAGATAGATAAGCAGTAGCAGTATAGTATTAGCATATCCACCCGGTGAGCGGAGGGTGCTTGTGGCGAAGGGATTGAGCGATCCCGAGAGCATCCAAGGGTATCCAGGCATTGTTCCACAATCCTATACCGAATCCCGCAGCTCTCAGGCTATCCGCCCGCTCCAAGACCACGCTCTCGACGCCCAATCTATCATCATCATCGTCATCAATTATACAAGTATAACTCAAGTTGAAGTAGGTAGGAGGTGGTACCTGTGAAGTGCTAAAGATGTTGAGAGCCCAGCAATTCCAGCTCCTACGATCACCACCGCTGCATCCTCCTCAACTCTTTCCATTTCCAGGACTGCTAATTACATATATATTATATTATATTATATTGATCAATACTGATATTTGTATTTGTATGGGTGTTAGTTATTGTTATTGATCATGAACACCAAGTATATATATACACACATATATATTAAAACTGTCGACATATTAAAAGAATTATATATATATATATATTGTATACATACATTAAGTTGCTTGAGTGAGTGATAGAATCGATCTAAATATGAATCACGTCGTTCTGTTTACAGAAACACTTTTAGTGCTTTCACTATATAAAAAAAGAAAAAAAAAAAAAAATTGAAATTTAGTAGCCAAAAAAATCCCGTAACAAAAGGTAATGAATTTGTAACAAAAATATTTCTCGTCGCCTATACCACATGGTAAAGATCTTTGGCGACAAATTTAGCTTTCGTAAGGAAAGATAAGTTTTTTACCACTAGAGTTTAGAAAAGATAGCTATAAAAAGATAATTTCGTAGATAAAACTCAATATAAAAATAAAATTTATAACAAAAGAATTTTAGCAACATGCATAATTTTTTTTTAGCAAAATGGTTTTAGCTGTGAAATATGATTTTGTAGCTAAAATCGTTTTGCTATGAAAATAAAATTTTCTAGCATAAGAATTTTAGGGACAATTAATTTGTAGTATCTAACTTATTTTTAGCAAGGTGATTCATTTTTGTTATTGAATAACACACTTAATTACAAAAATATTTCATAATTAAAAATATTTTAACTAATAAGATATTTTTTAAAATAGCTTTTATACTATTCATCGACCCTAACTTTTTTTCAATAGCATTCCATCAAATATCTATTCTCTCTTATAAAATTTCATACTCTGTAATTAGTTTGATTAGTTAATATAATAAAATATTATTTTAAATATTTTTATTTGATAAAATATTAAAATAAAGGAGAATTTTTTATTTTAATATTTAAATATTGAATGTTTTTATTTATTGAAATTATTTACAAATAATAATAATTGTATCTATTGTAAATCAATATATGTAATTAGATAACAAAAAAATTAATAATTAAAATATAATTAATACAATAAAAATATAATAATAAAAAGTAATTTTTTTTCGAATTTGGTTATTGTTAGAAGTAGTTAGTAATGACATACCAAATTTAATACCACATCGTATACAATAACAAAAATTTTGTTATGGTATTTTACCGTACCAATATCATACAAATATTTTGGTATATCGAATTTACAAATAAAAAAATACCGAATTGCGGAAATAACATACATCCTTGTACAAAAAAATAATAATACCGAAACAATTTCAAATTTTCGGTTCGACATGACTTTTTTTGTATAGCAACGATATACAGTTAAATATTTTCACTATATACAGAAAGTAATTTTTTTTCTATATTTTTGTATATATACCGAATATTCGATACAATATCGATATTTTTTAAAATTAACTATACAATTTGATACGGTATACAATATAATTCAATATTTTCGTATACTGTTTCGAACCATCTCTAACTAAATTTTCTACGGTATTAGAATATAATATTTTATATTAAAATACCGAAATTTTAAACATAATTTTATAATTATACATGATAAATAAGTTTTATTCTTAATTTTTTAGAACACAGAAAAAAATTTCAAAATCAAATATCACTTTTAACTAATTTTCCATGCATAAAATTCGAAATCAAGTAGTATCATTTTTTTTATATTACATTAAAATTTTAATTTTAAATTTTAAACATAACATTAATATCTATTTATATCATACTAGATATTTATTTTAATTTTTATTAAAAAATTAGCTCAACTTGTAAGTTTACAATTAAACAAATAATAAAACTAAAGATATTAGTAATTTTATTTTTGTCAATTTCAAAGTATTCATTTCCTATTTAAAAAATAATAATCATACACTAATTCAAAAATACATTTAACTTTTACTTTAATTATAAACATACAATTACAAAAACAATTACTTTAGGCATAAAGCAAAAAAAAAAAACTAAAATGTCAAAAATTATTACACTTCTATTGACTAATAAAATACTATTATTTCGTAATTACACTTCTACTGACTAATAAAATACTATTATTTCGTAATCTATTACCAAACCTAAAGACCCTTTGGGTTGGGACTGATGGAGTATAATATAGTCAAAATTTTCTAATTTTAAGTATTAGTTATTAATTATTACTATAATAGAAAAGTAAACTATTTTTTTTATAAGACTGACTAAAAAAAATGAACAAATTTGGTGGGACGAAAAGAGTATTAAATATTAATTTTTTATTATTATCAATGTTTTACAAAAATGCAAAAGTCCCAGCCTAAAATCAGTGTAGAGAGTTTGCTCTAACTCGGCATCCTATACTCCGTTATTGTTTTATAACTCCTAAATATTCCTAAAGATTGTACAATTTTTTGTAGTATAATTTATTTGAATTAATTGTACAAATTTATAATATATGCAAATATATATATATAGTTTCAAAATTGATAATAAAATATTTCATAGTATAATATATATTAAATAAATTAACAAAAAAAGTAACCAAAACAAAACAGACATAAAATATTAAGTACTTCTAATATAAGTAAGTCTTACAAAATTTATATTCTAATTGAAATCCAAATCTAACATAGATTGAAAATTACTATTCACAATCTTTATCAAATTGAAAATAAAAATGAATTTGGAATGAATCAATGTCCATAGGTGAAAAAGAGAAATTTTTTTATCTTCTTGTTATTGTTTCACCCTCATTAGACTCCACTTTTAAAAATGATACAAACAATATACAAAAAAATACAGTAACTAAAATAAAAATAAAAACAAAATATTAGATAATTTGAATCATAAATTAAGTTTCATAGAATATTCAAATTTAAATTAAAAATCAAATCTAAAATATATTAGAAAATTTTAAAATTATATAAGAAAATCAAAATAAATTTAAAATTTAAATCTAACATAAAGTAATAAATAATGCGAAGTTTAAATCAAATCTCACTAAAGCTAATACTCCATTTAACTTAAAAATCAAATTTAACCTAGATTAAATATATTATTCACTATCCATATTAATTTGAAAATTAAAATAAATTTAGAAGATAAAAATAATTTGTCAAAAAGAAAGAAAAAATGATTTTGATCTTCTTTATCATTGTTTGTCTCATGTCATTATCCTACTATTAAAATAATATATATACAAATAATACACAAAATAAAAATATATGTGGACAAAAAATTGTGTTATTTTTAATAACCACAAAATTTTTATAAATTATATTTAATTTATATTTAAAGCGGGTCCTGATCTCTTTACGGGTCATTTGATTTTCTTTCCGGATTGATTTATTTTCTAATTTTGGTTTTAAATGACTTCTTTAATATGAAGGGATTTGGTCTTCGGTTTGACTTTGCTGGACTTTGAAGGACTTTGTTTTCCATGCGGATGATTTTGTCCTCATCTTTGACTTTGGATTTTATGTTTCTTTTGGATGATCCGAAGGAATTTGATTTTCGGTTTGGCTTTGTCGGACTTTGAAGAGCTTTGGTCTCCGTGTGGACGATTTGATCGTCGGTTTTGGATTTGATGTCTTCTTTGGACGACCCGAGGCTTTGATCTTTGGTTTGGTTTTGCTGCCTTTTGGAGAGCTTCGGTCTCCGTGTGGGCGATTTGATCGTCGGCTTTGGATTTGATGTCTTTTTTGAACGATCCGAGACTTTGATCTATGGATTGGCTTTGCCAGCTTTTGGATGACTTTGGTCTCTGAGTGGGCGATTTGATCATCGACTTAGGATTTGATGTCTTCTTTGGACGATCTGAGGCTTTTATCTTTGGTTTGGCTTTGCCGGCTTTTGGAGAGCTTTGGTCTCCGTGTGGACAATTTGATTGTTGGCTTTGGATTTGATGTCTTCTTTGGACGATCCGAGGCTTTGATCTTTGCTTTGGCTTTGCCGGCTTTTGGAGAGCTTTGGTCTCCATGTGGGTGATTCGATCGTCGGCTTTGGATTTGATGTCTTCTTTGGACGATCCACGATTTTGATCTTTGGTTTGACTTTGCCGCCTTTTGGAGAGCTTTGGTCTCTATGTGGGCGACTTGATTGTCGGCTTAGGATTTGATGTCTTCTTTGGACGATTCGGGGCTTTAATGTTTGGTTTGGCTTTGCCGGCTTTTGGAGGACTTTGGTCTCCGTGTGGGCGATTTGATCATCGGCTTTGAATTTGATGTCTACTTTAGACGATCCGAGACTTTGATCTTTGGTTTGGCTTTGCCGCCGTTTGGAGAGCTTTGGTCTCCGTGTGGGTGATTCGATCATTGGCTTTGGACTTGATTTCATCTTTGGACTATCTGCGACTTTGATATTTGCTTTGACTTTGTCGCATTTTGGAGGGCTTTGGTCTCCATGGGGGCAATTTGATCGTCAACTTTGGATTTCATGTCTTCTTTGGACGATCCGAAACTTTAATCTCTGAGGAAGTACACTTGGCACTCCATAACACTTTTGGCGTCGTGTCCCTTTGACTTTTGGATTGAAGAGGGCCTGGTTGATACTTTAGATGAAGAACGCGATGAACACCTTTAAGCTTTGGGATGAACTTGGGAGACTCTTCCTTGGCTTTGACGGATCCTTCAAAGGCTTTTGGAGCTTTGATCCTTCATCTGGCTTGGGCATACAACGAAAAATGTTAACTTCACCGATTCGTCAACTAATATTGGATCATTTGTCCAAATTAGTGAGTTTTGACGAAGAACGCCTCGAAGAATACATAGAGAGTCTAGAGACTTACCCATTTACTTGAATCATCGATGTAACTTCGGTGTTTCAAATGAATTGACCATGACTCATATTTATAGGGGAGGGGTGACCTCGACTTCATTTTTAATGATGTCATGTGGCACATCCTAATTGGCCAATAGGAAGATTTTATAATCTTTCATTTTCCATCAAATGCTTTCCATTCTTGACGGATTTGATTGTGCACTTTCATTTCTCGCCGAAATCTTTATATCATTGTCTTTTTCGGAAGATATTAGTTTATATACTTCATTTATTGACAAGATTAATTTATTTTACTACCAAATTTATTATGACT